CATTGCCGGCAATGTAAAATACAAGTCTAAATTAAGAACCGTAATATGAGAGAGATCGAGAGCCCGTGGATAAAAAAATGCTGGCATTCTTCCACCGTACTTCAGTAATTTGCTGAATCGGAATGCTCCTTCATCTAGCGTCGGAATTGGCTGATCCATGTAATATGTCAGAAACTTGTTAGCTTTGTCTTGATAAGTGGGATGTTCCAAAACTTCTCTCACATGGGTACCGAGCTCTTTGACATTTATATTGAATTTATTCATGATTCTCCCGAATCCCTTCTCTTTGATAAGCCAGGAATTTCGAGTTTGTTCTCCAAACATTGGAACAAAGATAGTCGGAGTTGCAGAGCAAATCACTTCTTTTGTGCTGAAAATTACAAAAATAAGGGAAGGTTCGAGTTCTGGAGACAAACCTCTTCAGCCCTCCGTGACTCAAAAATAAGACTGTCTTGTTGTGATGAAGAATTTGGTTCTGAGGAACCCATGATGAAGTCTTCACATGATCTCGTAATCCAGGTGGTCGTTCTCCTTTCATACTCCAGATGACTCGATAATCGGTTAACTGATTGACAATCGTAGAGAACGTATCATAGTAGTGTTTTGGTGCTCTTCTCCAGTCGATGAATGTACCGAAAGCAATCAATATCGTACCCTTTGATTTAGGATCGTCTATGAATGATAGAAAATCTGAAGGGAGAGGTGTGGAACTGGGCTTACAGTAGGCACCGAAGGAGAAGAACTGGAAATGAAAAAAGAGAAATTTGGGAATAGAAAAGAATATGAAACAACAAACATCGTTAGTTCTGGAAGCAGGGGGAAACAGGGAATCTGGCATATCGGTGAATGAATATGAACTTCGTCTATTGTACTCGGAAAACGAGAAATATGGGAATGGAATAATGCTCCGTAGTGCCTGAAGCAAATATTTCACTGAATTAAATTGATGGTATTGATACCCATTTCTGAGCGAAATTTCCGACGAACGCTGTAAAAATGAAGCTCCCGAACCAATCATAAGCAGCCCAAATTCTATGAAAATATTTAGTGACCGAAAAATCAAGCATAGTGAAAGGAAGATTACTTGGTACAAAAGTTGCATAGTTTCTGAAATTAATGAACAAATTACGTAAAATTCTGAAATTAATTTTATATTTCCACCTCGAAAAAGCTTTGAATGATCCTTGGGCGGATTCGAGATCCGTAGAATGCATCATAACGTGTGGTTTTCCACTGATCTCTGCCATACCGTAGCCGCAGACAGCAAAAAGAGAATCTGAAAGGTAGAGGTCCCAGTCCTCAGAGAGAATCTCATTGAACCGTTCTTTTTTGTGCTTCAGGATGTTGTCGCATGTTTTAGAGCCGAATCCATATGCAACCGCCTATGATAATTGAAAGTTGACAAGGCTATTGAATTACTGTACACGCTCTCCCACAGAACATTTCCGAACTGCAAATTAATTTTTGATCTACAGAAAAAAAGTTTGGCGCGATCACAATTGCAGGTCTAAAACCATAATTTCAGAATTTTTTATCTGATTTTGTGGAGTTCCAAGATGATTCAAATGATTCTTAAAAAATTAATTAGTGGTTATAGATTCATGTATGGTCCTTTTCCCGAAGAAAAAATGTCAAAAATGGTCATTTTGGAAAGTTTTTAACAGAAAAAATCTATCTCCTCTTTCAGTTTTTGACATTCCTAGGAGTTCTATAGCTCAAAAAAACCGCAATTATTTTCTCTACATTTTCTATGGATGAATTCTTAATTCGTCTGATAAAACTTTTTTTATAATTCAAAA